GAATGTATTCTCTAATGTGGCAAAAATCCTGACTGTGGTACCCAAGTGGCCAAAGTCTTGGAAACAATGAGCAGAGAAGTAAAACTGGAAGCTCAAGAATAACGCAACTTATAACTGATGGTCTCTAAAGCAAAGGTGAGGAGGGAAGAAGAAACTTTCTCAAAATAATTTATTTTATATTTGACAGTTTTTAAAATAAGAGTTTTATTTCTATGTTACCAGAATATGGTCTCAGACATTCTGATCATGCTACAGATTTAAATGTACTGTGTACTTTGTACTTTCTCTACAAAGAGAACCAAAAAGCAGGTTTTTTCCTAAAGCATTTGATTATCAGGTCAGGGTTCTTTAGAACAGGTCTCATAGGACTTCCCCTCCACTAAACAGGACGCAAAGAGATAATTAGCCTAGCCATTAGATTCAAGTGCAGAGGAACTCAAAGCAGGTTATGTGGTTATAGACTCAAGAAGCTGAAACAAAAGAAACCGGCTGAGTTTATATTCCAACGAAATACAGAAATCATGTCATGATCCCACTTCTCCTCAGCCCTTAGGAGTGGGTCATGCTCCTAAGTGGTCATTCAGATGACAGACCTTGGATTGTACTGACTGAATTATGACAGGACTAATTGGCTACTTCAACACCATAAAAATATAACTGCTGTAAGAAAAAAGTAACCACAGGCAGACCAATTTATACTGATTTGATATAAAATTACAATCCAAACCCAAAAACCATTAGGGCTCTTTGGCATAGACTTCCACTCTTTTGCTCCATCCAATACAGTAACCACAAAATTTTAAATTTTAATTAAAATTGAAATAGCCACAGATATGCAACTTTTCCATCACAGCACAAAGACTGCCTGCACTGCTGTTAAGTCCTATATGAGAATAATGAACAAGTTCACCTGACCTGTTTCAGTCCTTGACGTCTAAATACATTGATAACTCTCAGGGTCATATACACCAGACCAAGTTCTACTGCCAACTCAGGGTCACAACAGTCTTTGCCCTTTATTTTCCCCAAAGCTCCCTAAACTTAAAGGAAAGAAGGAGGGGGTGGGGAAGGGAGGAAAGAGAAAGAGAAAGAGAGAAATTAAGAAAGGGAAGGAAGGGAGGGAGGGAGAGAGGGGAGGGAGGGAGAGAAAGAAGGAAGGAAGGAAAGGGAAAGAAGGAAGGAAAGAGAAGAAAGGAAGGATAGGGAAGGAAGAAAGGAAGAGAAGGAAGAGAAGGAAGAGAAGGAAGGAAGAAAGGAAGGAAGAAAGGAAGGAAGAAAGAGTGAGCCTATTTAAATGATGCAACATGTATGCTTCAGAGAGTTTCACTATATAAAAAGTAATCTCTCTCTCCTCTTGGGAACTGAAGTACCCAGGTGTCCCAAAGAAAAAAAACTATTAAAAACAATTACAGTTCATAAAACAACAGGAACACTAAGGCCACTGGAGAGCTTAGTTCAGAAGAACATCAACATTCTTCCTACTTTATAACTAAAACCTCAACTGACATACATGAAGACTCTCAAAAGGTATTCTCTGCAGATAATTCTTTTAAAAAACAAGTCATGGTTATTCTGGATAATTATAAATTCCTGTTTCGAAGGAATAAGAAACATTGAAAACCTGAAACCCCTAATTTCGGTAACAACTAAATGTCGAATCTCATTTCTTACTGCTGTTTCCCCTCTAAGAGAAAATGATAGGAATCTCTTTCAACTTCATCCTTAGGCTTCTATTGCTTACTTATTGGGTCATCCTCCAGAGGAAGGTGGCAGAAGGATCCAATCAAACTCCTAATCTGAAGCAGTTTTTTGAGTTTACTTCCAAGCCTCTGCAACTCTTCGCTTGCCTTCCACACTGCTTTGGAAATCCAGCTTAACTCTAACTCAGGGTTTCTCACCAGCAGCACTTCTGACATTTGGGGCCAGATAAGTCTGCTGTGGGAGCATCCTGTGCACTGGAGGGTGTTTAAGAGATGTCAGTAATAGCTCTCTCCCTCCTCCATAACACAAGTTGTGACAACCAAAAAGTATTACAGTTCTTTATGTACTTACCTCCAAGAAACCAGCTTGAGGGTGGGGACAGAATCTGTCTTGTCTGTTTATCTCCTAGAGCCCTTGCTGTTGTCCTACAGGTTCTGTAAATATTTGCTGGATTGTGAGACAAAGTCTCAACACAGAGATTTAGAGGAGCTGAATATGAGGATATCAAGGGCTGAGATAACAGAATGTTCCTTAGGTTAAAGCTGTGGTTCTCAGCCAGGAGGGATTTTGCCTCCCCCAGGGGACTTTTTGTAACCCTCTAAGAGAAAATGATAGGAATCTCTTTCAATTTCATCCTTAGGCTTCTATTGCTTACTTATTGGGTCATCCTCCAGAGGAAGGTGGCAGAAGGATCCAATCAAACTCCTAATCTGAAGCAGTTTTGTGACCCTGAGTTGGCAGTAGAACTTGGTCTGTTGAATTTTGTTCCTGGGTACTCTTATCTTACCAAACTAAAAACACCTTGAGGGCAAAGAACATAACCTGCCCTAGAATACCAATTCTAAATTAATATTTGATTAATGGCCAATAAAAATATAAAATAAACTACTGTAAACTTTATCACAACAAGGTCACAACTTCAGACAGACAGTAAAAACTCTACAGCTAACTTAGGCAAATAAGTTAACCTCTCTCAGTTGTAGTCTGTTCTTCTGTAAAATGGGGAGGAAATGATTGTTGACCGGATTAAGTCAAATAATACAAGTAAATCTTTTTCCACCTTCTGGCACAGAGGGAATTGAATTACATTAATTACTTTGTTGCTAATAAAATAATAGTACTGTTATCACTACTATTTTATTAGCAACAAATCCTACCTCATGGGAAAGGGCTTGCTCTGGGCTACAATAACAAACTCCTATGTGATATAAAAGAAATCAACACTCACCCTGCTTTCTGAGGGTAAGAGGAAGAAGGTAACATAAGTATTTCTATCAATGTCCTGAGATGAAAAAGTGAATGCAGGATCCAATCAGAAGGGGTGGGGGTTGGGGGAGACATACTCAGAGACAAAGCTGATATCTTCCAATACATTTCTGACTATTCTCTAGACCTTTCTACTCAAAATGCTTGAGTATGTTTGCCATAAGGATCTAAAGAGGAAGCAAAAAATAAAATCCTTAACTTATAAATATTGACACATGCAAGGGACACGTTTGAGACTTTGAGTGTTCAGCCGCTTAATCTTTCAGAATGTATGCTTAAAATTTCTATCACTATAATGTTAAACACATGCTATCAATTTGAATTTACTACAAAGCAAAAGAGTTCATGAGGAAAAAAGACGAAAATTGGTAGACTTTTTTTTTTTGGTAGACGTTTCAAAGTGAAGAACATGAAGTCACAGGAAAAAGTTGAGTGATTCAAAGAGAGGTGTGTGCGTGTTAGCGTTTGACGCCAGCTGCATTAGGAAATGGGAGATATTTAGGACAGAAGTACAAGAAGGGAAATCACCATGCTGGGAAGTAAACATCCAGGAACACCTCCTCTGACAGCACATAGAGTTTCAGTGATCAAAAACAAACCTTATTCTCATAATAATAGATAACACCAGTATAGTGTGTATCTTGGGCTGGGCACCAAGTGTCTCGTACACAGCAGCTTGTGTAATCCTCCCAGCAATCTTATTAGGCAGTTACTATTAGTGCCCACATTTTACAGATAAGAAAACAAACCTAGAGAAGTTAAGTGACTTGCCCAAGTAAATTAAAGATTCAGACTCCAACCTAGGCGCCATGGCACCATGTCTACTGCCATACTGCACAGTGACTATTTTAATTTCAGAACTAGAAATTTAATTTATACTTACTACTTAGTGAGACCAGTTCTCTCTCCCTACCCTTTTGTATTTCAAAGAAGCATCCTTTTAGTTGACTCTTGTGCGATGATCATAAGAAGGCTTGAAAGGTAAAAGTGTGATCGATAGACACTTTCGCCTTTGGACACTGACCATGAAGTAATCCACATGGAGGAACGTGGGTGGGTAGAAATGAGACAATCTCCTGAACAAGACGAGAGGGATCTCGAAGAATGAGGGAAGTCGCCAAAGTTCCTATTTCAGCCCCTATTTCTTGCCTCTGCTCTGACCGCTATGTTCATTCAAAAGACCCCAGAGCCAACCGATTCCAACTCTGCTTTTCATCTCTCTCACTCTGATAGATGGAGAGGATGGACGCGAGGCGAGGAGCGAGGGTCTATGTGCAGGGAGGCTAGAGCCAAGTGGGGTTCTGGACAGAGAGAAAGGAGAGGCTGCCTCCTCGGATCGGGGTGCAGAGGCGCGCGGAAAGGATGGGACCTGGGACAGAGGTGAGCATCGGGGTGGGGAGCCAGAAGCAGGGGGCAGCGAGGCCGGTGGGGTCGGGGTCAGCAGCCAAGGAGTGATCAGCGGGCGTGCTGAAGCCGAAGAGGCGCCAGCGGCAGAGCAGCCCTGTCACTACCATCCGGGTTGATCTGAGAAAGGAAGCGGGGCAGGAACCAAGGCATTTCGAAACAGAAGCAGAAAATAATCTCGAGCGAAGACCAGGCCCAGGGGGTGGCAGCGGCGGGGGCAGGGATCGCGGCCCGGAGCAGGAGCAAAGGCAGGAGCTCCGCGCGTGAAGGGCTGCCCAGA